ATTTGCCAGTTGAGGGATATTTAGATTGTTTCCATTTCTTAGCTATTGTGAAAAGAGCACCAACAAACATGGATGTACAAGTATCTCTGCAGTAGGATGAGTCCTTTGGGCATATGCCAAGGAGCGATATAACCGGATCATATGGTAGGGTTATTTTTAGTTTTTTAAGAGTTCTCCACACTGCTTTCCATAATAGTTGCATTAGTTTGCAACCCCACTAGCAGTGAATGTATGCCCCTTTCCCCTCCAGCATTTGGTGTCAGTTGTTCACTTGATCTTAGCCATTCTGACTGCAGTAAGATAAAATCTTAAAGTGGTTTTAATTTGCATTTCCCTAATTACTAAGGATGTTGAACACTTTTAAAAGTGTTTTGGCCAGGCGTGGTGGCGCACACCTTTAATCCCAGCACTTAGGAGGCAGAGGCAGGTGGATCTTTGTGAGTTTGAGGCCAGCCTGGTCTACACAGTGAGTTCCAGGACAGCTGGGGCTACAAGGAGACCCTGTCTCAAAAAAGACAAAGAAAAAAGTGTTTCTTAGCCACTGTATTTCTTGAGACCTCTCTGTTCAGATTATTCATAGCCCATCTTTTAATTGGGGCATTTTTTTTTTCTTGATTATCTGTTTTCTGAGTTTTTTGTATATTCTGGATGTCAGATGTGTAGCTGGTGAAGATTTTCTCCCACTATGCGGGTTTCCTCTTCACTTCTTTGGTTGTTTCCTTTGCTGTATAGAAGCTTTTTAATGTTTAATGAGGTCCAACTTGTTGATTGTTGACCTTAATTCCTGAGCAACTGATGCCCAATTTAGACTGACATGTCTGAGAAGTTTGTGGTCACTTTCATGTCCCTCCCTAACCTGAGAACCCCCCTGGGGTAGGGGGCAATGTGAACCTCCTCTCCTTGCTGTGGGTCATCCCAGAGCTATGGCTTATGGGAAGGATAAAGTGTGTGCATCCATGGGGCAAGGGGGAAGCAGCTTTGCAGCCCTCTCCCTCAGCTCTGCCTCCCTGAGACAATAAAATTGCCTTCAAAAAAATTTTACAAAAACTTTGAGAATTTCATACATGCATATAAGGTGTTTTGATCAAATCCATGCCCATTCCCTCCCGTCCAACATCCCCCCCCCCCAAGAGGTAATCCTAAAGTGTTTTAAGGATTAGATACAAGCTCCCAAATACTTTTGACATTTTTGGCCTTGGAACAGACTATGTTGCTAGCAGGCCCAAGAACATTTTGATGTTTAGCCAAGAAACTGGCTACATTTCTTTGGGGTCTTTTTACCCTAACTGCCTAGCCAACTCCTACCTCTAATTTTTATCATGCCATCCAAAAAAAAAAAAAAAATGAAGTTGGGATAGTGGACAGCCTTGTCTGTTTCTTGATTTTTTTTTTTGTTTGTTTTTTACTTCTTGTATCTGTATAGGTATGTTTTCCCCTAATTTGGGAAGGTTTTCTTCTATAATCCTGTTGAAGATATGGTCAATCCCATTGACCTGAGATTCTTCTCCTTCCTCCATGCCTATGATGCCTAGATTTGGTCTTTTTATGGTGTCCCACATTTCCTACATTTCATTCTTGTGTTTTAAATATTTTTTCATATTCTTTGCTTGAGTGGACCAATTCTTCAACTTTGTCTTCTACTCTTGATATTCTGTTTTCCATTTCATTCATTTTGCTTGTGGGGCTTTCTCCTGTCATTTCAAATTGGATTATTGAATTTTTCAATTCAATCTTCATTTTGGCTTAAGTTTTCTTCAGGATTTCTTTTGTGAATTCACTTTTCTCTCTTTTTTTTTTTTTGGTCTTTTTTTGAGACAGGGTCTCCCTGTAGCCACAGCTGGCCTGGATTCCCGATGGAGACCGGGCTGGCCTTGAACTCACAGATATTCGCCTGCCTCTGCTTCCCAAGTGCTGGGTACTTTAAAAGGTGTGCACCACCATGTCTGGCTGTGAATTCACTTTTCAAGTCCTGAATTGTCTTTGTCATTTCACTTAGTCATATTATTACTATTTTCTTGAGCTTCTGTTAATTTCTATTCTCTTTGAGCTCTTTGAGTTGTGTTCTTTAAAGTGATTGAATTCTATAATGTTCACAGCAGTACTTTAAATTCTGTGTCCTGGGGTTCCTCTGGGTGGTTCTCATTTATTTAGTGCAGTTTTGTAGGACTGGTGGTTTTTGGTTGGGACATATCTTCCTTTTTCATACTGTGTTTTTGCATTGTGGTTTGGGCATATATGGATTTCTTTGGTTGGTTGTGTTTTTGTGGTTGTGTTTTTAGCCTGCCTTTGTTTAGTTGAAGTTTGGTTCTGTTTATGTTATTGATGTAGTTTGGTTGCTTTCTGGTCCAGTATGAATTGATATGTTCTTCAGGTTCTCACTTTGGATTTTCTATTGACAGGGCAGGGTGGTTCCAAGCTGAGTAGTCAAGCACTCTCCAGCAGGGCAAAGGGGCCTACACCTAATTCAAGACTATGGGGATCTGGTGGCTGGGTTCTGGCAGGCTAGTCAGGAGGTCTCAGGTAGGAAATTGAGGAAGGGGGCCTAGGGTCAAGGCAGAGGTGGGGACATCCTGGGGAGGGTCTAATTAACTAGACAGTGTAGGTGTGGGTCCTGGAGCAGGAGAATGTAGCTGGTATGGGTGCAGAGGGATCAAGAGGCAGTGGGAGGGGTCTTTCTTAGAAGACCAATCTTGGAGGTCTTAGGCCCAGGGCAGGAATGGAGACAGTAGGATGAAGGAATAACTAGCTAATCAGAGTAGGTGTGGGCCCTGGAGTAGGGGAATGTGTAGGGGATCAAGATGCAGCAAGTGGGCTGGGTCTCAGGTGGGATATACCAGAGGGGGGTAGGCATGGGGAGTGAATGTAAATGGTCAGGGTGCAGGGGAATCAAGACACAGTTGGCAGGGTCTGACTTACCAGGGTAGTCTGGAGGTCTCAGGCAGGAGACCAGGAGAAGGCCCAGGCTCAAGGTGGGGGAAGGAGGCAGCGTGGGGAGAATGTCTGGATATTAGATTTTTAGAGAGGGGGAGAAAAGGAGGTAGACTTAAGAGAAAGGCTCTGAGTTGAATGTCTTCAGGAGAGAGCTTTATTAAGAGTTATTAACTCATCAGACAGTAGAGCTGGGATCCGAGGGAAGAGGCTTCAGTTTCAGCTAGACAAGTGTCCATTCTTAAAGGTTTCCAAAGAGTGGGGAATCCTTGCATAGTAGGGAGGCAGGCTTAGTTAATATATGACCTGTGCATGTATGACAGGAGTTATGAAGACACTGGTTAATGTGTGACCTTAGTGAAGCTGCCATGGACATGGCAGCAGGAGAGGATTCTACTCTATGTGAGTGCTGTGAGGGGAGGATACTGGGCCTGTGAGACTCCTCCCAGCAGTTAGGTGTGGCCCAGTCCATGAGGCAATTCCTAACTGTGTCTAACTGTACAGTGCTTACCTACCATACAGGAAGCTCTGGGTTTTATCTCTAGCACCACATAAAGTGGATATAGTGGCACATGCCTGTAATCCCAACACTGGGAGGTAGAGTCAGGGGGATAAGAAGGTCAATGTCACCCTTGGCTATGTAGTGAATTCAAGTCCAGCATGGGCTATGTGAGATCAATCTCAAACCAAAATCAGCAAGAGAGGGGAGGTGAGAGGAAAGGGAGGAAAGAGGAAGAGAGGGGAGGGGAGGGGAGGGGAGGAGAAGGGAGGGGAAGAAAGGGGAGGGGAGAAGAAGAAAGAGGAAGGGAGGGGAGGAGAGGGGAGTGCAATTCCAGCACTTCTCAGGATGAAGGGGATCCTGAGTCCAAGGCCAGCGTGAGCTACAGAGTGAGACTCTGACATAAAAACTAAGGAAGGGGGGTGGGGAGATAAAGGAGATGGAGGCCAGATGGAGCTACAGGGAGACCCTGTTTCAAAAAAAAAAGCAAAAAAGAAAAAGGAGGAAGGGAAAGCAATATTCTATTGTATGATTCTGCCACCTCTTATTTAAGTTTTGCTTACTCTTGGGAGCAATTATTTTTTTATTTGCTTTGGTTTTTGAAACAGGGTTTCTCTGTAGCCAAAGATGGTCTGGAACTTGCTATGAAGACCAGGCTGGCTTTGAACTCATAGAGATCTGCCTCCCCTGCCTCCTGAGTGCTGGGATTAAAGGTGTGTATCACCACACCTGACCAGGAACAACTATTAAATCCACTTTACAGATGAACTACAGAGAGATTAAGTACTTTACTAAGGCTATAGCTTCTAGCAAGTGGAATAGGAACTACGTCCCTTGTTTTTTACTGTTATGATAGTCAATAATTCATTCAAAAATATTTTCTGAACATGAACTATGTGCTAGGCACACTTTTAGTTCCTGGGTGTCTAGCAATGGGCAAAACCGTTAAGACCTTGTTTTCAATACCGTATATTTTAAGAAACAGACAATAAAACAGTATGTAGCATATCACTTGGTTCTAAATGTCATGAAGAAAAGCAAAACAGGATGAGGAGGGAGAAAGTGTCAATGTATGTTGCTGTAAGACTCTGATGTCATTTCAGCAACCACACTTAAAGGAAAAGGGGCAAAGTGAGAAGGGTGTTTTCAGGGTCAAGGCAAGGGGCGCAGCAAGTGCAAATCCCAGGGGCAGGAACTCATATTCTCTGATGATGATGCTGGTAATGGTGGTGATTTTAGCCCCAGTTGGCTTGGGACTCGATATGTTAGACTCGCTTGCCTCCTGAGTGCTGGCCCGGTTTGATTTTCTCTTTCTTCTTTAATTCTCTGTACGTGCCAAACAACAAATTTAAGCATGACTGCGTGGCCTTACCTAGTTAAATATCCACTTTAACATAGGTAAATAGATAACCGACTGCTGGGTCGCCAAGTCCCTCTCCAGCCCAGATCCTGGGTTCTGCTTCGCTGAGCATCCCCGGTAGAGGGGGCAGACTCCGGAAGTAGCGCACGGAGGGGCACTACAGCAGCTCGCCTATCCTGGCTACCTCCAGGACACCCCCGGGTCGTAAAGAAAGCGGAAAGAGGCTTGCTGTCGCGAAGCGCGGTGGCTTCCGGAGGAGTTTTGGACTCTGCGTGCCCCCGTCGGCGTCCCGCCTTCTCACCAGGGGCAGCTGAGGAGACGCGCGGGAACGGCCGGCGCGTGTTTGAGAACGTAGTGTCAACATGGGCGATCACGGCCTGGAGCTGGCGTCCATGATTCCCGCCCTGCGGGAGCTGGGCAGGTAAGGCCAGGCGCTGCTCGCGGTCGCGCGTCCTTCAGCCTCGCGGTGCCGCTCTCTGCGCGCCGCGGCCTAGCTGATCCCGAGCTTCCGCAGGGGGAAGGGCCTCCTCTGAGCACTTGGTGGTCACTTGTCCATGCGCTTTGCTTCTCGAAAGCCTTTCCTCAGACGAGACAGCTTCCGACTCTTAGGATCAAGCTCACAGGAACCGACTGGCTTTTTGTTTAAAAGCTCCTGTGGAGAGAAAAGTCGGGGCTCCGTTTCCGCCGGGGAAGCCAGCTGCTGGCGGAGCCAGTCGCTTCCTGCCAAGTTGCTCGTGCATCGGCCCGCCGGCAGATGGGATCCCGCCTCCATCCGCAGCCCTTGGCGGGTATTTCAGACGTCAGTGGGCTGGCCACAGGGTTCACCAAAGCCAGACGTGCACTGTAAACAATAACCTCGTATTTCATCTTCAATTTTCCCCCTTGTTCACCTCAGCAGTAAATGTAAACCAGGATGGTACCTGGAGAAAGATATTCACGTTGGACATGCCCTTCAACGCCATTGGCTTCCCAACTGCTGCTGATGTTGAATGATCAATTGGAATTACTTCTCATTTTATTTTTTAAAATATCTTGTTTTTATTTTATGTGTATGAGTGTATTGCCTGCATGCATGTGAGTGCACCCGTGTCCTGCAATGCCCCGGAGGTCAGAAGAGGGCCTCGGATTCCCCTGGAACTGGAGTTAAGGATGGTTCAGAGCCGCCTTGTGGGTGCTGGGAATCGAACCTGGGTCCTCTGCAAGAGCAGTCAGTGCACTTAACCGCTGAGCCATCTCTCCAGCCCTCAATTTCTTTTTAATTATTATTTTTTATACGCTGAGTGTTATATCTGCATGTAAGTGCAGTGTCTGGCAGGACAGAAGACGGCGTTGGATCCCCTGGAACTGGACTTAGGACGGTTGTTTGCTGCCATGTGGGTGCTGGGAACCAAACCTGGGTCCTCTGCAGGAGCAGTCAGTGCTCTTAACCACTCAGCGATCTCTCCAGTCCCAGCTTCTGTCTTTCTAAAAGAACACGAATATGTGTGGTTTGTTTTTTAGGAAGCTGATACACAAATTTCATAGCATCTTTTAGCATCACCAAAATACTGTATTTTTCCCCTTGCTTTCGTGTACAATTAGCTGTTTAGTACATCTCTTTTCTCTTTTTCCTTATGTGACTTGTTAATAAAAATAATGGTTTCTTTTTCTTAGATTTATGGTTTGCTTCATCAGCACACAGAAGCACACATATGTACAAGTAGACTGGCAATTTCACTGGGTACCCTTTTGTAATAGTTACAATTCAGCATTTTGAGTCAGGGCTGGTGGTACATGCCTTTAATCTGAGTGCTCAGGAAGCAGGTAGGAGATCTTTGAATTGGAGGCCAACCTTGCCTACCTAGGGAAGTCCATCCAGGTCAGCCAGAACTATATAGTACAACCCTGTCTCAAGAAAAAAGGAAAAGAAAATTAGCATATTGAATATAAATACTCCATGTCCTAACCTTTCTACTAGGACTTTTACTTTTTAAAAATTTCTTCAATACTGGGGATTAAACCTAGGATTTACTACATAAGTCCTTGTTCTACTATTGAGGTGCATACTTGAGCAGTTTGAAACAATCGTGTTGCTTGTTTTGAGGCAAAGTAGCTGAGGCTATCCTATAACTCCATATATACCTCTACCCTTGATCCTCCTGCTTCCATCTGTCCCATGTTGGGATCACAGGCAAGTGCCACCACACTTAGCTACCTGGCTTCCTTAAAAAAATGTTCTTGTGAGTCAGGCGTGGTAGGGCATGCCTTTAATCCAGCACTCAGGAGGCAGAGAGAGGTGGATCTCTGTGAGTTTGAGGCCAGCCTGGTCTACATAGTGAGTTCTAGGCCAGCCAAGGCTACAGGGTGTCTCAAAAAGACCAAAAAAAAAAAAAAAAACCAAGTTCTTTTAAATTTCTCTCAGTCATTGAAATAGGTGCATATAATAATACTGTGTTTACTCATGTCTCCAAACCCTTGGCTTTACATATAATTTCTATACTAATAAGGCCTCAAATTGTATTTCTAGTCCAGAGCTATGTCTCTGTGTAGTGCTGGCTGGCCTAGAACTTGATACATAGACCAGGCCAACCTCTAACTCAGGGAGATCTTCCTGCCTGCCTCCTGTATCAACCTCCCACAGGTAGAGATTATAGACATAAAACACCATGCCTCTCTTTAAATTTTTTTTACATTTATTGATTTATTTATTGGGGGCAGTGGCACATATGCTGTGGTGCACATGGAGGTCAAACAACAACTTATATGGGTCAGTTCTCTCCTTCCACCACATGGGTCCTGGAGCTGGAACTCAGGTTGTCAGGCTTGGCAGCAGCGTGCCTTTACCTGCTGAGCCATCTTGCTTGCCCTACCATGGCTTTTTTTTTAACACGCTTTTCATTTATATTTTAGTGCTACTCCAGAGGAATATAATACAGTTGTACAGAAACCAAGACAAATTCTCTGTCAGTTCATTGATCGAATACTTACAGATGTAAATGTTGGTAAGAAATCAGTTATCTCTTCATCAGCTTCATGAACTGGATGGTTTTCCTGTGCACCTTATACTACGTTTTTTTCTTCAGGCAGTTTTACTTAATTCAGTTAGTATTTGTGAGAGATAGTATTGTCAAGCAAGTTGTTACTCAGTGTTGCTTGTTGCTTATAGCATAATTTAGATCTTTAAACTAATTCTGTTTTCCTGTTAGTAACCTTGATTTCTACTGGCTACTGTGAGTTCTTTGATATGTTAGCTATAAAACATTTGGCCAAGTCCAATCATATAAACCTTATTTTAGTGATATCTTTAGCCAATGGTAGACATACAACAAATGCCGCACAAATAATATTTAAGTGTGCTGCTTTTCTGGGAGTTACTGTGACAATCTAAAAGGTAAGTGAGTATTACCAACTTGGGAAGGAAGTGTCACATCTATATCCCATTAAATTACATGGGTGGGTTAAGATAGAGTGGAATTTGGTAGCGGGGTTTTAATTTTCATTCAGAATTTGGTACCAACACATTTTATGATTTATCATAAGCTTTTAGCCTTTATTTCAATCTGCAAAGTTATGGGTTGATAAAAGAAGCAAAGGATTCTGAATACTTGCAAGATGTGCTTTTATATGATACTCCATGTTTCGATCACTAGCCTTTCTCCTCTGCCAGCTCCTTATCTAGAAATTCCTTTGCAGTACTTTCCAGAATCTGTTTCCTCATATTCTGGGTTCTGGGTTAATGTAATTACCATTCCCTCACCAGATTATAGGATTTTTTTTTTGTAATCTTCAGATTTTGGCATAGTGCCTGGTATATATTAGGCCTATAGTACAAATATTTGTAGAATGGGATGTGATAGATGAATGTACATGGTTATTAGACATTTATAATTGGGTAGGGGGTTGGAGAGATCAGTTGTCAAAGAGCTGCCAAGCCAGCATGAAAACCTCAGTTTGATCCTTAGCATCCATGTAAAAAGCTAGGTACAGTGATGAGGACCTATGATACTAATAGCAGATCCCTGGGGCTTACTGGGCTAGCCAACTTAGTCAAATTGGTGAGCTCCATATTCAGTGAGAGACTCTGACTCAAAAAGTAAGGTAGAAAATAATCGAGACAGACACCCAACATGACCTTTGACTTCCACATACACACTTGCACACAGTTGAACATGTACACATATAGAGATTATAACACACTAAAATAAAATATTAGATAAGATCTTAGTATTTCGGCACATCGGTTTAGCACAGGTGCTCTTCTGGACAATAGTATTTTTTTAGAATAATTTTTAAATTTTATTATTTTTATTTTGTGTAATGAGTATATTGCCTGCATGTGTGTAAGTGCACTGGTGTAGTGCAGTGCCTGCAGAGAGTGTTGAATTCCCCTGGAGCTGGAGTTAGAGATGGTTGTTAGTCGCCATGTGGGTGCTGGGAATTGAACCTGGGTCCTCTGTAAGAGCATCCAGTGCTCTTAACCACTGAGCCATCTCTCCAGCCCCTGGACAATAGTTTTGATCACCAAAGTCTAGTTTCTTAACAAAAATTTAATTTGTCATGACTCTTTAAAATAAATCTTTTTTTTTTTTTGCATCCATTTGTCAGACCCAAAGCAGTTACTGTCTGCTTCTAAGGTTTCTGTTACAGTTGGAACAGAAGTCGTACTTTCTGTCTATCTGATTGTGGCAGCCAAGATTGAATAGAGGAACACAGATGAAAAATAGATAGATGATAGATAGATAGATAGATAGATAGATAGATAGATAGATAGATAGATAGATAGATAGATAGAGGCATGTTGGTGCATGCCTTTAGTCCCAGCACTTGGAAGGCAAAGGCATCTGTGTGATTTGAAGGCCAGCCTGGTCTGTATAGTGAGTTCCAGGCCAGTTGGGGCTACAGGGAGACCCTGTTTCAAAAAGACATAAATAAATAAATAAATAAATAAAATGAATCTTTTATTTTTTTTTTAAGTTGCTCTAGAACTTGTAAAGAAAATTGACTCCCAGCCAACTTCTGTGATGTTACTTGATTTCATCCAGCATATTATGAAATCTTCTCCACTTATGTTTGTAAATGTGAATGGGAGCCAGGGGCAAAATGAGGCCAAAGACAGTTGTATTGGTAAGTGCTGTTATTCTGTATTCATCTGTGATCTGTTTTATAAAAACCCTCTTCTGCTCTTCTGATATTAGACCTATATGATCATACATTTTTAAGTCATATTTGCTATAAATTGTTGGGGGGTGATATTGGTTATTTTATATTTTTATTATTGTATGCTAGGTATTTAGCATAGAACAGAAATAATCGAATTTGCTTATTTGCCATCAAACATTTTGGCAGAGTTTCTTTTTTTCTGTTTCTGGTAATTTTTTCTTGTAGATCAGAGATTGGCAAACTACAGTCCACATTCTAGCTACTTATTTTTTAAAGTTTTATTGGCACATTTTCTCTAATTACTACCAAGGCCATTTGGACACCCAATTAAAAAATACACTATCATATCTTTTAAGAAAAATTTTCTGACCCTTCTCTATATTGAAGCTTTTTCTAGGCTTATACTTTATTGTTTCTACCTCTCTTACCTTTTTTTTTTTAAATCTCCTCATAAAAAATGCCAAGCAAACATTTTTCTTATATAACAAAGTATCTTAAAATTTGTTACTAGTATTTCAAGTCTCTCCTTTGATAATATTTTCCTTTAAAGAATGTTTTCTGACTGCCACCCTTGACTAGCTAGGACTAGCTTGGATGTTGCTTTTTGATGCAGTCTTAGTACTAAGTGTTTTCTATTTCTTCTATCATGGTTAGAAAATTGTATTATAATCATGTTTTCAGTCTTTGCTCTATTTTCTAAAGTATGAATCATAACCTACTAGTGCATTATAAAATTGCTCTAGGAAGTTATTAGCATTTAAAACAAGATGAAATAAATGAAAAAAAATTGCATGTAATACATTGTGTGTATTAAGAGTAAATATTGTTTCATATATTTAAAATAAATATGCATTGGTACACAGAGTCATAATGTCTATTTTAAAAATTTTTTAAATTATTTTTTTAAATTTTATGTGTATGAATGTATTGCCTGCATGTATGTAAGTGCACCTGTGTCATGCAGTGCCTGGGGAGGTCGGAAGAGAGTGTCAGATCCCTTGGAACTGGAGTTACGAATGGTTGTCAGCTGCCTTGTGGGTGCTGGGAACTGAAACCAGGTCCTCTGCAAGAGCAGCCAGTGCTCTTAAATGTTGAGCCAACTCTCCAGCCCCCATAAAATGTATTTCTTAATTTCAGTAAAAATTTCATGAAACTACTATAGGATTCATGAGAGTAAGATTATGACTGATTTATTCTTCTAGACCTGGCACAGTCACCACTCAGTAAATTTTTATTTTTATTTATTTATTTATTTTGAGGTATTGGGAATTAAATGCAACACCTTGTACTTGGTAGACAAGTACAAGTACTCTGCCAGTGAACTATGGCCACAGCTCTACATTCAGTAAATTTTTGTTGACAGAAGCTGGGTATTGTGGCTTATACATGTTACCCCTAGCACTTAAGAGGTGAAAGCAGGAGGATCAGGAGTTCAAGGCCAGCCTGGGCTACAGGAAACAAAAATTTCAACAAATTTAATTTTTGTTGAAAGAGTGATAGTAGCAACTATTTGTTGAACATTATTATGTTTTGGGAACTATGCTGAGTATATTATATACATTGTATTATTTGATCTTCACAACAACCCATATCATACTTTCCTTTTTTTAAAATTTATTATTTTTTAAATTTTATGTGTATGTGTGTATTGCCTGCATGTAGGTAAGTGCACCCATGTTGTGCAGTGCCCACGGAGGACAGAAGAGGCTGTTGGATCCCCTGGGACTGGAGTTACGGACAGTTGTTAGCTGCCATGTGGGTGCTGGGATTTGAACCCAGGTCTTTTGCAAGAACAACCAGTGTTCTTAACCTCTAAGCCATCTCTCCAGCCCCATACTCTCCTTTTATAAATGGGGGCTAGAGAGATGGCTCAGCAGTTAAGAGCACTGACTGCTCTTGCAGAGGACCTGGGTTCAATTCTCGGCACCCACATGGCGGCTATGAACCATACTTAACTCCAGTTCCAGGGGTATCTGAAACCTTCTGACCTCCATGGCATTGCATGACACAGGTGCACTCACTTACATGCAAGCAATACACTCATACACATAAAATAAAAATAATAAATAAAATATTTTAAAAAATAAATAGAGATACGCAGGTTCAGAGAAATGTGAAGGTCACGTAGTTAGTAGATGGTAAGGTAGGACCTTTTCTGTCTGACTTAAAAATCGATATTCTAAAGTACAATATTTCCATTGTGTAGGAAATGTAGACTGTTCTTAGTGAAGAAAAAATCATGAAGCATTTAGCAAGTTAAAATTTCTGGTGTATTTGTTTGTTTACTTCATTTGTTTGTTTGTTTCAAAGAATTTAGTAATTGGATCATTACAAGACTTCTACGGATTGCAGCAACTCCATCCTGTCACGTGTTACACAAGAAAATATGTGATGTTATCTGCTCATTATTATTTCTTTTTAAAAGCAAGAATCCTGCTATTTTTGGTGTACTCACAAAGGAATTACTATATCTTTTTGAAGACTTGATTTACCTCCACAAAAGATGTGTCACGGGTGATGTTGTGGAATGGCCAGTGGTTGTTAATCAATTTTTAAGCCAATTAGATGAACAAATGGGATATTTACAACCAGCTCCTCTGCAACTCATGAGCATGCAAAATTTAGAATTTATTGAATTCACTTTATTAATGGTTCTTATTCGTATTATTCCAACTGTGTTTTTTAGAAGACAAGAACTATTACTTTGGCAAATAGGTTGTTCTCTGCTAGAGTATGGTAGTCCAAAAATTAAATCTTTAGCAATCAGTCTTTTAACCGAACTCTTTGAGCTTGGAGGATTGCCAGCACAACCAGCCAGCACTTTTTTCAGCTCATTTTTGGAATTATTACACCACCTTGTAGAAATGGATGCTGACCAGTTGAAACTGTATGAAGAGCCATTGTCAAAACTGATAAAGACACTATTCCCCTTTGAAGCAGAGGCTTATAGAAATATCGAACCTGTCTATTTAAATGTGCTGCTGGAAAAACTCTGTGTCATGGTTGAAGATGGTGTGCTTTTTCAGCTCAAGTCTGATTTGCTAAAAGCAGCTTTGTGTCATTTACTGCAGTATTTCCTTAAGTTTGTGCCAGCTGGGTATGAATCTGCTATACCAGTCAGGAAGGTATATGTGACAAATATTTGTACAGCTCTTATAGAAATTCTTGGAGTTCAGACACATATAGAGGTAAGTAATTGTTAATCTACATGTTGAGTGTTTTGTTCATTTAAGTGTGTGCATATATGCAGGATAAAATTAGGAAATATCTCAATGGTAATTCACATTGAGGGCATAATGATTTTCAAAGCCGAGTTGCACCCTTGTTTTTTTTTTTTTTTTTTTTTTTTTTTTTTTTTTTTTTTGGTCTTTTTGAGACAGGGTCTCCCTGTAGCCCCAGCTGTCCTGGAACTCACTATGTAGACCAGGCTGGCATTGGACTCACAGCGATCTGCCTGCCTCTATTTTTACTTCCATTTCAGAAGGGTTTGTCCATTAGGTTAATGAACTGTCAATGGAATAGATTGTTTTAAAGTAGAACTTAAGAAATAGTAATGTATCTATTGCGTTATTAATTGAAAGGGGACTAGTTATCATCTTAATTGGAGGAAGTTTGATCACTGAGATTTTTATCTTTAAAGGATTTCATTTTTAGTATGAGAAATTAGTTGTATTAGATTATACTCTCTTTCCTGTCCAGACTGTGGGAGGAGACAGGCAATAAAATGCTCAAGTATACTCATTTGATTAAACATTTTAAATATTAAACATTTTAGGTTATTTTATCTATAAAAATGCTGTATGAAAAAGTAATTCCCTTATAAAATTTTCTACATAGCATTTTGGGTAGGGGGATTATAGTGTGTATTTGTCTTCTTAAACCTTTTAAAGCTATAGAACGATACTTGATGGATAGAATGTGAAATAATGCTAATTAACTTGGGCGTTTGGTTTCTCTTATGAGACTCAGCTTATCCTAATAGAAAATACCCAACACATTTTTCTGCTTACAAATTATATGTACATATCTCCTAAGAGATTGTTTTTGTAATTATTTATGTTTGTTTTCTCAGTACTTATTGGGCCCACTTTATTCAGCCTTGAAAATGGAAAGTATGGAAGCCATTGGGGGAATTCAGTGCCAAACTCAACAGGAAAATCTTGACAGCAATAGTGATGGAATATCACCAAAAAGGCGTAGACTCAGCTCCTCTCTAAACTCTTCCAGAAGAGCAGCTAAGCAGTGTGAAGAGTATGACTGCTTTCAGTTTTAATTTAGTCATTTTAGTCATAAAATTGTATTTGACTTAAAAAATAAGGTGTAATTAAGTATTCTGATTTAGATATGCAAAGAACATCTTTCTAATGTAGTCAGTAACAATACTTAAAATATTTTACTAGTTCTTGTGGTTTAGTGTAGTATGAAACATTTTATTGCTAAATATAAATACCTTGAATGTTTTTACATGCCTGTTTAATTTAGCTTTTTGATATTTGAAAAGTATCAAATTGTTTCTATTAGCATTTTTTCAAATACAGTGTTTTTGGTAGGTAGCCAAAGAATTGCCATATTTCAGCCAATCACATTTACTTTATTATTTATTTATTTGTTTATTTATTTATTTATTTTGTGTGTGTGTGTGTACGTGTGTGTACATGTGTACGTACACATGCAGGTGCCTGTGTGGAGGTAAAAGAGAGTTTGTGGGTGTCAGTTTTCTCCTTCTGTAGTGTAGGTTCTAGGGATTGAACTCAGGCTTTTAGGCTCTGGCAGCAAGGGCCTTTTCGTCCTGAGCTGACTCATCTGCCCTTTTGTTTTAAATATGTATGTTTACTTATTTATTTTGTGCTGGAGTTTTGAGTTGAGGACTTTGTGTATGCTGAGTAAGTACTACTGAGCTCTGCCAAACCCATGTTTTGTGTTTGAGCCATTATTTGTGTTATATACTAATCCCTTTCTACTGTGGTTATAATTATTTACAGAATTAAAAGTGTGGATATGGACAAAAAGAGTATATTATGGAGTGCACTGAAACAGAAAACTGAATCCCTTCAGATTTCCCTTGAATGCAATCGTCTAAAGAATCCTGACCCTGAGACTTTAGAAGGACTCACAGTTGCATTACAGCTGACTGCTCTCTGCACTGTTCACTGTACTCATCAAGACACTGACCAGTAAAAACTGCTTTTGTTTTGTTTTTTATGTGTATGTGTGTATTGCCTTCATGTATGTAAGTGCACCCATGTCGTGCAGTGCCTGCAGAGGACAGAAGAGCCCCCCCCTCCCCCCAGTTCCCCTGAAACTGGAGTTACGGACAGTTGTTAGCTGCCATGTGGGTGCTGGGATTTGATCCCTGGTCTTCTGCAAGAACAGCCAGTATTCTTAACCACTGAGTCATCTCTTCAGCCCCTAAAACTGAAATATTCTGGAAAAAATTTCATTTTGTATCCTTTGTATGTTTAGAATGTAGCATTATCAGAAACTCTTAAAAAATAATAAAAAAAAAAGAATTCTGTAATTCCTCCCATACCTTAAGCACATATATTAAATCTACTGGGGTCAGTTTCATACACACAAACAAAGAATTATTGTTATTGTTTGTGTGTGTGTGTGTGTGTGAGAGAGAGAGAGAGAGAGAGAGATGGGGTGTAGTGTAGTGTATGTGTACTATGGCATACATATAGTGGTCAGAGGACAACTTTGTGCAGTTGGTTCTTTCCTTCTACCTTTATGTGGTTTCTGGGGTTCAAACTCAGAGGTCAGATTTGTAGGACAAGTGGTTTTACCAACTGAGCCACCTCACTAGCCCCAAAACAGTTTTCTGTATTTTCTGGGTGGGTTTCCTTTAATGAATTTGGACTTAACATTTTAAGAGAGCTTGTTACTCATGTGATTCCTGTGACCTTAGAACACAAACTTTGAGTGAAGTAAATAAGAAATTTTCTACTGGGTTGCCTACTAAATGGTAGGTACTGTGCTAAGCATTGTTCCCATCTTATTTAATCTTTACGTCAATCCAAAAGTAAATGCTGTTATGCCTACTTTACCAATTAGAAATTAAGGTTCAGAAAAATAAGGCTGTTTTTTGTTTTAAGTCTAAACTAACTTTCCCAAAGACACACGATCAGAAGGCATTAATACATAGAACATATAATCAAAACTCATGTTCTGCTGGGCGTGGTGGTGCACGCCTTTAATCCCAGCACTTGGGAGGCAGAGGCAGGCAGATCTCTGTGAATTCAAGGTCAGCCTGGTCTACATAGTGAGTTCCAGGACAGCTGGGACTACAGAGACCCTGTCTCAAAAAGACCAAAAAAAAAAAAAAAAAACCTCATGCTCTTTTGACTCTATTTCTCCCTCATAATAGGAGCAGAAATTTAGAATTTAGAAGAGGTAGATTTTCTGTTTAGTGTCCTTAATATAAATTTTCTACCTACAGAAACAAGTATTATCCTTTGAAAACTTACTCTTACTACCACATTTTTGGCCAGCCTTTCTTGTTCATTTGTCCATGATCAGTCTGTACTTCGTGACTGACTCAGCTAGGCAATGCACCATTGTAAAAGAACTTTTAGAGAAATTATGTTACTTCAGACTCTACTAAATTTAGAATTTGAGATAAATTGAAGGAATAGATAGACTTGTCCTTTTATGAAGAGCATTTGCTACACCAGTTAATAATTAGGTAGGCCTGCCTTCTGTTACTATTTAAGCCTGGTGATGCCATATTCAGAGATTCTAGATTAATTAATTCCCAAATAACAAGAATGATTAAATGCTGAGGCAGGAAGATTGCCACTAGGCCAGCTTAGACTGCAGAGTGAGGTCTAGGCCAGTCTCAGCTACAGAATAAATGTCTCTCTCTCTCTCTCTCTCTCTCTCTCTCTCTCTCTCTCTCTCACATACACACACACACACACACAAAACGACTTAAGCAAACATACATTAAACTTATTAAATAATGAGACACTGGTTTGCATATTAACTTTAAACTGGCTTAAGGTTATAGGTTAGTTTTACACCCTGTTTTCTTTGGCCTTATTAAAATTTTATCTTTGACTGTAACAAAATTCTTAATTATAATGTCTTTTAAAAAATGTACTCATTGCAGCCATGATTTCAAGGACCATCAACACAAATATAAGAAGCAACCTTCACTAGTGATAACCTGGATGTCTTTGGATTTTTATACAAAGGTGTTGAAGAGCTGTAGGAGTTTGTTAACATCTGTTCAGAAATCTGAGCTAGAAGTAGCCATTGATAACGTGGTGAAAATTTATGATGCCATGATGTATATGCAAGGTGAGTATGAGTAAGCAGCAGATCAGAACAGTCTTAATGTAGAAGAGCCTTAGTCAGTGCCCAGAGGCTTAGTCAGTGCAGAAGAGCCTTAGTGCAGAATAGGCTTTCCTTTTTGCTTAAAGCTTAAATGCACAAAAATTTGTAATATTCAGAAGATTTCTTTTTATTTCTGTTAATTAAACTTGTCAGTAATTTTTGAGTTATAAATTTATATGTATAATATTTATTTAATTATTTATTATCCTGTAGTCAATAGAAGTTTATTCAAAACTTTTAAGTGTTTTGATATGAGAATCTGAAGAATGCTATGGCCCTTCCAAACAAGTACATGCATAGATGCATGTTTTTATTAAGTCACATCTAATTTCTTTGGCCTCAACACATCATTCCTTGGGCAGGAGGTAAAGCTCAGTGGTACATATTTAACATATGTAGGGCTCTGGGTTTGAGATCTTCTCTCCCTTCAAAACAGGTTATTCATGGCCCTTTGTTTTAAGAATCTCAGTTTATTAAATGTTATAATTCCATTTGATGTTGTCAATGTCCATATTACTGGATAAAAAGACAAACCTACAAAGAATAGGTATAATTTATGCCTCTTGTGTTTCTATAGTAAAAAGTTCATTTGAGGATCATATTCTGGAAGATTTATGTGGAATGCTCTCACTTCCATGGATTTATTCCCATTTTGATGATGATGCCTTAAAGCTGACCACATTTGCTACAAATCTTCTGCCATTAAGCCAGAAAGTTTTAGATAGTTACTGTAAGTATTCACAAAATTGTGTCTGATGTATGTACTTGTTTCATTTTGTTTAACTAGTCTCTATATAAAGTTTATAACACTTCACCATTATAATTTTTCAATAATTGAAAGAAGAAGAATACTTTTAATACTATAAAAAGGAGTTTAGGGGCCGGGCATAGTGGCGCACCCCTTTAATCCCCCAGCACTCAGGAAGCAGAGGCAGGGGGATCTCTGTGAGTTCAAGGCCAGCCTGGTCTATATAGTGAGTTCCAGGACATCTCGGGCTACAGGGAGACCCTGTCTCAAAAAGACCAAAAAAAAAAAAAAAAATTTTTTTTTTATTTAAAAAACAAAACAAAACAAAACTATGAAATATTTGAGAAATACAACAAAAAGAGAAGAAAATAATATACCAAATACTAATACCAACTTCCCACTTTAAGAACTAAAAATGTTAGTGCTGAAGAAGTAGCTTAGTGGGGAGAGCATTGATGGAGCAGACCAGAGGCCCTGGCTTTGATCTGCAGTGTCCGATAAAAATAGGACAGTGCAGTACACAGGCTTGTAATGCATGTAATAATTCCTGCTGCTCCAGAGGTAGAAGCTAGAGAATCAGGACTTCAGCCTCATGCGTGGCCTCAGCTGGCTAGAGGCCCACCTGGATGGGCTACATTAGAGCCAGTCTCAGAATAGCAACAACAACAACAACAACAAAATCGTAAGGATATAGTGAGAGCCCTTTGAGCCTGTAATCCCAGGACTTGGGAGGCCATGGAAGGAAAATAATGAGTTTGAGACCCTCCTCCACTATATACTGAGATTTCGTCTTGTAAATAAAGACAAAAAGTATTTCAAGCCGGGCATGGTGGCACACGCCTTTAATTCCAGCACTTGGGAGGCAGAGACAGGTGGAGCTCTGAGTTTGTGGCCAGCCTGGTCTACCTAGTGAGTTCCAGGACAGCTGGGACTACAGGGAGACCCTGTCTCAAAAAAAAAAAAAATTAAAAAAGACAAAAAATTTTTCTTTCGAAAAAAGATAAATAAATAAGCCTTTTATTTTTTTTCATTTTCATTTCCTTTCTCTATAGATAACTACTACTCTGAACTTGTTTTATTACTTTTACTGTATATAATTATCATTAAATAATATGTAGAATAATTTTCATTTTTACAACTTGGATTTTGTTCAACATTTTCTTTTCTTTTTGAACTAGACTCTCATGTAGAGCAGATTAGCCATAAACTTGCTACGTAGCTGAGGCTGGCCTCGAACGCCTCATCCTCCTGAATACTGGTATTATAGACATGTGCCATAATTTCTGACTTGGTCAACATTAAATTTATAGGATTTGTTCATGGTAATACATATAGTTCTAGTATTTTTTATTTTATAGTAGCCAACTGTAAGATAAACATTATTTGCTTCCAGTTGTTGACAATTAGAAAGATAATTCAATGCATATTTTATGAGTAGCTCTTAAAATTATTCTAAGATCTTGATGTTTGAAGTGTGATCCACAGACCAATAGTATCACAACCTTTTGAGAACTTGTTAGAACGAGAGAATCTCATGTATACTGAATGAGGATCTACATTTTATTTTTAAAGGTTTATTTTATTTTTAGGGTGTGTGTGTGTGTGTGTGTGTGTGTGTGTGTGTGTGTATGTATGTACATGTACATATGAATACTGGACTATAGGTTTCCACATTTCCTGTTCTCTTCTACTGTATTGCTCTCCAAAGATGCACCAATTTGTACTCTTGCTAGCAGAATGTGAAAATGGCCATTTTTGAACAGTCTCATCAGTTCTTGACATTGTCAGGTTTAAAATATCTTACTAAAAATTCAGAAAAATTCAGAGTACCAACTAATTGATTTTTTTCTATCTGATGTGCATTTCTCTAATTATTTAATAAGACTGTACATGGCATTTTTTCAGTGTTCTTGCTTTATTTTCTGAATTTTAAGTTAGATATTGTATGTACTTGAAATTAATTCATAGCATGTGGATAAACGTGCACACACACACACACACACACACACATACACACACACACACACACACAAAATTAGCACCTTAGAAGTCATGTTTAAGGGGCCAGTGAAATTGCTTAGTGGGTAAAGGCACTTGCCATCAAGCCTGAGAACCTGAGTTTGATCCCTGGTACCACGTGGTAGAAAGAGAACTGACTCCTGTAAGTTGTCCTCTAACTTGCACACATGCACTGTGGCATGTGTGCCCCATCCCCAAAGAATTTTTTTAAAGAAATCTTGTTTAACGGATTTAATTTATTTAGCCCCACAGGCACAGTCACGATGTGTGTTTCTTCTTACTCTGTTTCCAAAAAGAATATTCCTTGAATGGAGAACTGCAGTTTACAACTGGGCCCTGCAGAGTTCCCATGATGTAATCCGGGCTAGTTGTGTTAAGGGATTTTTCATCTTACTGCAGCAGCAGAGTCCTTGTAACCAAGTTCCCAAGGTGCTTATGTATGTATTAAGGTTTTAATTTGAATATATCACTTAATTGTAAAAAAAATCATAATTCTCTGAGTATCTCTATGAGTTATTACTTCTGAATATATACATAAAAATACCACTTTTAGCTTGAAAATTATATTTTTCTTTCTAAGTTTTGTCTTTTCATTTCTTTTGTACCAAATCAAGAAAATCTAACCCAAAATACTTATCAGGAAGACTTAGTAGTTTTTCTTTTTTCCTCAGTGATAGAGTCAAAGATGATTCTGACATTGTCAAGAAAGAATTTGCTTCTATACTTGGTCAACTTGTCTGTTCTCTTCATGGCATGTTCTATTTGACAAGCTCTTTAGTAGATCCTTTCTTGGAACATGTGGACCTTTTCTGTAAGAACCTGAAAGCCACCTCTCAACATGACTGCTCATCTTCCCAACTAAAAGCTTCTGTTTGCAAGCCGTTCCTTTTCCTGCTGACAAAAAATACACCTAGTCCAGTAAAACTTGGTGAGTGATTACTTAGTGTTTTAAACACTATTTAATGTCCAAGTTTTCAAATTACTGATTTACTTAGCCTAAAGCCTTAAAAAAATCATCAAGTCGGGCTGGAGGGATAGCGCAGTTGTTAAAGGCTAAGGCTAACAACCAAAATGTAAAAAATTATCAAGTTATATACTTGATAGAGGCAGTGTTCAGAAATGATTATTTATAAATGAAATGACTGGTATTGGTATCAGAACCAATAAGAGAAGAAGTGATTTTTTTTTTGGATTTTTGAAATGTTCATGTGATTGACTGCCTAATGGGGCATATCTGATGGCTGGTTTAATATTGTAAGGTTCATTGTTCTTTATCTTCTTTCATCACTACTGTGGACCCTCAAAATTTCAGATAGCTAGATTACCTTGCCCAGCTGAAGACTATAGATTATATCTCTTAGCCACTTTCCAGTGGCATTGGAATGTGAGTTTGCTGAAGGATTGAGATTTATACATACACTTGGAAAATCCATATTTAGGGAGTTGCAGCTTATTCTCAAGCTTTCAAAGCAATAAATGGTAAGTGGTTCTAGGAACCCCTAAGTTCTGTAACATTGACAGTTTGACTAAGATTCATTTTAGTTGAGAGTTTCAGGAATTAAATGTGCTTTTAAGTATACTATATAACCTTATAAATGACTAATTTATAACGTAGAGCCTGAAACTTATTTTAAATTTAAATAATTTATAGCTTTTATTAAATATAAAGCAATTTAAATTGATAAATTCTATTCTAATCCCTAAAATATTATGTTCTATGGATACTTAAATATTGACAAATAAGGCAACATAAGATTGTTTAAAGTGTGCTATTTGTTGACAATATTTTTCTTTTGGTTTTTTGAGACAGGGTCTCCCTGTAGCCCCCAGCTGACCTGGAAACTCTAGGCCAGGCTGACCTTGATCTCACAGAGATCCACCTGCCTCTGCCTCCTGAATGCTGGGATTAAGGCATATGCCACCATGCCCGGCTTGTTGACAATATTTTAAAGTAAAACTTTGATATTTGCTGTATCAAATTAGAAAATCTATACTGTCACCTTTTAGCTTTCATAGACAATCTGCATCATCTTTGTAAGCATCTCAATTTTCAAGAAGATGAACATGATGTAAAAGTAGTTCTTGGGACTTTATTAAATTTAATGGAAGATCCAGACAAAGATGTTAGAGTTGCTTTTAGTGGGAATATCAAACATATATTGGACTCTTTGGACTCTGAAGATGGATTCATAAAAGAGGTTGAAAATTTTTATTTTTAATATATGGATTTTCATAAGCCTAGCTCTAAACCTTTTTTTAACCAATTAATTTTATTGTTCTAGCTTTTTGTCTTAAGAATGAAAGAGGCATACACACATGCCCAGATATCAAGAAATAATGAGTTAAAGGATACCTTGATCCTTACAACAGGGGATATTGGGAGGTACGTTTGACAGCGTTTGAAATTTCCATATTTTTGTCACTGTCTTGGTTGCCTGGTATTAGAAAGAGTAAGGGCTACAAGCCTAAGTGGCACATCTAGGATGCGACCTCTACACCTAAGACTCATGGAGCATGGAAAAAAGGATGAAGAAAACACTAATGCATCTTTCAATTCTCATCAATGAAGCTCCCTCATGCAACAGTGGGCCAGGAACACAAAAGGCCATAAATGACCAAAAAACAGAGAATAAGAGTTGGCAGAGTGTGGGTTCTTGGACAGAACTCCTATATTGGGGTCCATCCACCCAGGGCTCAGGGACCATTGTGGAAGAGGGGGCAGAAAGATTGTAAGAGCCAGGGAGGAGGTGCATGACTATTCAGAAATAGTCCTACAGGCGCCTGAGACTGTTATCATACAAACCTACAACAATGGTGTCAGCATACACAAGACCTTTGCAAACTTAGGCAGACAAAAACCCAACACAGATCTGTGGAAATGAACAGCAAGCCCCAGTCTTAGTCAAAGACTTATTGGTAGCTGATTACTGCTGGGTGAGGAAAAGCTGATTTTCTTGAAGGGAGAGACTCTAGATAGGCTGACTAAACCCCAGTGGATGAAATTGCACTGAGGGACATCTGGGGACACTAACTTGACATGATAGGCCTTAATACAAATGACAGAATGTATGAACTCCCATGGGGGGCTATGGGAAGGTGCCAAAGGGAAACTAGGTATAAAGTTGATTTTATGTATGAGATACACAAAAATTTAATAAATTTATATTAAAAAAAGTAAGGGCTGGAGATGTAGTTCAGTTGTAGAACACTTGCCTGCTATACGCAAAGGTCTGGGCTTACTCCTCAACACTAGCAAAGAAAAAAAAGAAAGAAAAGAAAAAAATGGTAGTGTAAAGTATATACATTATGAAAAATACGATTTGAGATCTATTTCTTTGTGGGTTTGAATTAGTTTCTGAGACACTGATTTTATGTGTAACTATATTTGTTTTTATTTTCAGGGCAGCAAAAGGAGATTTGATATCTTTTGCACTTTTGCATTTACTGCACTGTTTGTTATCTAAGTCAGCATCTGTCTCTGGAGCAGCATATACAGAAATTCGAGCTCTAGTTGCAGCTAAAAGTGTTAAACTGCAAAATTTTTTTAGTCAGTATAAGAAACCCATCTGTCAGGTGAGAGTCAGCTTTCATACTTACTATAAATAATAGCAATACTTGGTAAGAGTTTAAAAAGAAATAGAAACTAGGCAGGGTGATGTGTACCAGAAATCTCAGTTACTTGGGATGATCTCTTGAGTCCAGGAGTTTGAGACCAGTCTGGACAATATAGTGAGACCTTGCCTTGAGAAAACAGAACATGTGTACATGTTTTATTTTGCTTGGTTTAGAAGGTTTTGTTTTGTTTTTGAGAGAGCATCTCTCCCTGTAGCCCCAGATGACCTGGAACTAGCTATGTAGACCAGGCTGACCTCTATCTCATAGAGAACCATCTGCCTCCCAAGTATTGTGTGTCACTATGCCCAGCCTAAAAGATTTTTTTCTAATTATATATTTAGTTTATGTAGACCTGAAGTCTTTCCATTTTGTATTTTAGTATATTGGTCTAAAGATATAAGTTGTGGTAGAAGGAAAATCATCTTATAATTTTATTAAATTATACTCAATCTTTAGGGAGTCACCTTTTTCACCTTTTTAGTGATGATGAACTTTTATTCCTTGATATTATGGATAGGACACTTTGTTTTCAGAAAAGTATTTTCAGTTAATGACTGAAAACTTAGAACGTGTTGAAGTACTGGCTTTACACAATATTTGTGGTGTAATCTTTAGCATGATATTAAAATTTCTTAAAGTTTCTCTTAAGCCTGGTTTCTATAAAATCTGTAAAATGAAGGCTGTGACACAATCTATCTCACTAAGGTTATTACAAGAATTGAATGAGTCCAAATATGGCAGTGTAGAACTTTGATACCATCCTTTATGCTAACTTAGAAAGTATTAGTTAGAAAGAAAAGTATTAGAATTTTCCTTGTGTGAAAACTCAGAAACTTGTTTTTACTTTAGTTCTTGGTAGAATCCCTCCACTCCAGTCAGATGGCAGCATTTCCGGGAACTCCTTGCCAGGATGCCGAGGTGCGAAAACAAGATGTAGCTCACCAGAGAGAAATGGCTTTAAATACCTTGTCAGAAATTGCCAACGTTTTTGACTTTCCTGATCTTAATCGTTTCTTGACTGTAAGTTTCAATATGTAGTTGACTTAATTGAGGTTTCTGATTCAATATTTCATTCTTTAAATTTTGTTATTTTGGTTATTTTTTTAAAGAAAATCTTGCAGTAGGACTACATGGACACCAAATATTCAAAATTACACACTGTGTGTGTGTGTGTGTGTGTGTGTGTGTGTGTGTGTGTGTGTGTAGGTCAGAGGACAACCTTTGGTGTCTTGAATGTCATTTCTGAGTGCCCTGAAGTTTGCCAAGTAAGCTAGGAAAGGATAGTTGGCCAGCAACTCTCAAGGATCCTCCTGTCTCTGGCTCCCTAGCACAGGGATTACAAGTATGTGCCACTATGCCTGGCTTTTTTTTACATGGGTTTGGGGACTTGAACTCAGGTTGTCATGCTTGCAAGGCAAACTGTTTACCAACTGAGCTATCTTCCCCAGTCCCGTAAATTGTATGTTTTATTTTTACTTTGCTATGACATTATTACTTACATTGTCAAGCTTAAATTTATGTAAATAGCAGTTCATATAGCATTTTCCCCTATAGTATATTTTAACAAACTTAAATTGCTTAAAAATTAGTTATTTATGCCGGGTGTGGTGGCGCACACCTCTAACCCCAGCACTTGGGAGGGAGAAACAGGAAGATCTTTGTGTATTCAAGGCCAGCCTGGTCTACATAGTGAGTTCCAGGACAGCTGGAGCTACAAGGAGACCCTGTCTCAAAAAGACACACACACACAAAAAAAAGTTATTTATACAGAGGAAATATGATAGTATAAGAACCGCCTTATTAATTAAGCACCACAGATTTGCATTATCCATTAGTAGAACAAAACTTTGAAAAGAGCTGGTCATGGTGGCGTGTGACTTTAATCCCAGCACTCAGCAGGCAGAGATCACTGTGAGATCAAGGCCAGCCTGGTGTACATAGCAAGTTCCAGGCCAGCTGGGGCTACAGGGAGACCCTGTCTCAAGAACAAACAAAAAACCAAACCAACTCTGAGAAGAAACATCTCTAGATTTAAGTAGTAATATGTTACGTAACCATATTAACATAGTGAAAGGTGTTAACAAGATGTATCTCTCAGAGAAGCAAAGACTTCTTTTTTGTTTTTGCTTTTTGAGACATGGTCTCATTATATCGCACAGGTTGGCCTCCACTTGCTATTCTCCTGCCTTCAGTACCAGAATACAGGCATAGACTACCATATCCACCATGCAGTGCCTGGGTCTTGTTCCCTGTCCCATTCTATGTTTAGAATAGTGACTGCCATACTATGGTATGTGTTCATTAAGTACATATAAAAGAAATAAATGAAATGATAGCTATAATACCTTTGGATTTTGTGTGTATTTTATGAGAGAGATCTTAAAGGAAGTAGACCAAAATGAAAGATTTGTTTCAGTATTGGGATATATAAATGTTTTCTTTAATATTCAACATCAATTTAAATTTAGATTATAATCTAGAAAACTTTAAATTTGCATTCATGCTTACTCTCTAAATGCTTATTCTCTCAATACAGGTTAAGAATACATCAGACTTAGGACTTCTTAAGCATGTATATGTTTTAACATGTATTCAATAGAAATTATCTCCTGTTATTTTAAAGTTAGACTACAAGGTAATGGTAATGAAGAATGGGGTCTCCTCTTTGCTTTTAGACTTACTTATTCAGTGTCTCTTCACATTCAGGTGTCATAGTGACATGTTCTATGTCATTGGTACCTTGCCTATTTTGTTGATTGCTATATCTGCAGGCACCTGAATTATAGTAATAACTATCAGTAAATTTCAACCAAGTGAATAAATGACATCTGAATACAAATATAAATCCATATATGACTTTCTGTAGCATTAAAGACATTCTTGCAAACAGCTTATCTGAATATTTTATAGCCCACACAAATGTACTTTTTGGTAACTACTGTGTTCTTTTTCAGAGGACATTACAAGTTCTACTGCCTGACCTTGCTGCCAAAGCAAGCCCTGCAGCGTCTGCTCTCATTCGGACGTTAGGAAAACAACTAAATGTCAACCGTAGAGAGATTTTAATAAATAACTTCAAGTACATTTTTTCTCATTTGGTTTGTTCTTGTTCCAAAGATGAATTAGAACGTGCCCTTCATTATCTAAAGGTATTTGAATACTTACATGTGTTTTATTTGTTTAAATCAGCATTATAGGAGAACTGTTCTAACATTATAATGAAGGAGAGTGAATAATTTATAACTTATCCTATTAATATGGTTATGTTAAATAATTTTTGTCCTGGCAGTATATTAAATAGAATTGTTCTTTTGATATTTTCTCTGATCATTTCACCACAATGAGATAGGACAGTCATCTTTTCATGGATAGGGTTCTTAGATAATTTTATTTTAGTAACTTTGGCTGATTGCAAGTCTAAGTTGGCTGATAATAATATAAGTAATTATAGGAAGAGACAACCACCTTCAACTGTACTACCTGTGTTTGGTTTTGTTACTTGCTGCTCTAATTACAGTTTGACTTAGTTTCTAAATAGTTTTTTAAAAATATATACTCTATGTGTATATGTATGTGTGTCTCTGTGTGTGTACAGTTGTGCATGTGCATATGCACCTGTGGGTACATTTGTGCCACAGTGCATGTGTGGAGGTTAAAGGACAACTTTAGGAGTTGATTCTCTCCTTCCATATGGCTTCAGATTGTCAGGCTTATGCAACAAGCACTTTCACCCAATAAGCTAGTCCTCTTGCTAGTTTCTTAAATTTGAAATTATAGTGTGGGCTTCTTTTGGGTGTTATATTAAAAATGATATCTTAAAGGACTGAGACTGGGAACAGAAAAACCTATATTTCTTTTTTTATCAGAGGGCAGTATATCTCTTTTCCCAAGAGAACTGTTGACTATTGATTGCTTTTATTCATCTTTGTGTTATAGAGGTAGAATGATATGAATATTGATAGAGTGCATGCTACATGTCAGAAACTTACCTATCCACAAGCTGTCTGGATTATTTCACAGTCATTCAATAAGATAAAGATAGTACAGATTGAGTAGCTCTTCAAAATGTTTGAGACTAGGTTTCAAGATTGTTTTTGCAATTTAGAATATTTGCATATACAAAATGAGCTATTGGGCTTGGGACCAAAGTCTATACACAGAATTTATTTATCTTTCACATACACCTTAAACACATAGCCTAAAGATAATTCTATACAATTATACAACCTATAGTATTTTTAATGTGCCTGTATTTTGAAGTCAGGAATGGAATTTTCTGCTTCTGTCATTGTGGCAATGCTCAAAACAATTGGCATTTGGGGACATTTTGGGTTTGTTTTTTTTGTTGTTGTTGTTTGGCTTTTTTTTGTTTGTTTGTTTTCTTTTTCTTTTCTTTTTGGTCTTTTTTTGAGACAGGGTCTGCCTGTAGCTCTAGCTGACCTGGAACTCACTACGTAGACCAGGCTAGCCTCGAACTCACAGAGATCCTCCTATGTCTGCCTCCCAAGCCCTGGGATTAAAGGTGTGCGCCACCATGCCCGGCCTTGCTTTGTTTTTGTTTTTGTTTTTTTTGAGACAGGATCTTCCTATGACCCCAACTGGCCTGGAACTTGCTATTTAGACCAGGCTGGCCTCAGTCTCTCTGGGAGCTACCTGCCTCCCAAGTATTTTGGTGGGGTTTTTTGTTTGTTTGTTTTGGTTTCTTTTGGGTCTTTTATTGTGACAGTGTCCTCCTGTAGCTGGCCTGGAACTTGTTATGTAGACCAGACTGGTCTCAGTCTCACAGGGATCCTCCTGCCTCTGCCTCCTGAGTGCTGGGATTAAAGGCATATACCGCCATACCTGGCTCATTTTGGGTTTTTAATTAGAAATGGACAGCTAGTATTTTATTTTACAGATGAGGCAGAAAGAAGTTAAATTAGGTAACTTGTCCAACTCAGAGCACAACTTCTAAGTGATAGCTAGAATTTAAACTCTGGCATTCTGAACAAAAACACCACTGTGTTTCCTCCCAGGGCCTGTGCATCTGGAAATCCTGTGTTGATGATGGAAAAAGAACTTAGACAAAGCTAGGACTTTCTTTTTCAACTTTTATTAAAAAATAAAGTCCGATCATTTTTCTTCATTGCATATAGTCCATAGTAGATCTATCAAGGGAGAACAAAATATAATCATTTTCCAATTTCTTTTCTTAGTACTATTAAGAAGCTATAGTACCTTATCTAGAGCTCTTCATGTACTAATAGCGTGTTAAAATCATTGTGCCACTTTGCATGTTTGTATGAGGAAAATAATTTCTTTGAATATCTTTGTATTAGAATGAAACAGAAATTGAACTGGGGAGCCTGTTAAGACAGGATTTTCAAGGATTGCACAATGAATTATTGCTACGTATTGGAGAACATTATCAGCAAGTTTTCAATGGTTTATCAATACTTGCCTCATTTGCCTCTAGTGATGATCCATATCAGGGCCCAAGAGATATCACATCACCTGAACTGATGGTAAGGAATGTGTTGCTTAGTATTTGTTTTGTTTTTCTCATTTTTTTTTTTTGTAGCTTGATTATGATATGTGCTTTTACAGGTGATTTTTATGATTTTATTTTATTTTTATTTTATTTAATAACCACATGATTAGAAGAAGCATTTCATTATAGCTTTAACATATTCAATAACAATTTCCAGAGCAAAGATACATCTCTTTTGAAATTGGCTGTAAATTTTTAGGTTCACAGTTGAGTTAATACAGTTATACAATATTGAACTCAGTATAAACCCTGTAAGACATAAATATTTTATTTTTTAAATATTTTATTTATATTTTTATTTTACGCGTATGACTGTAATGCCTTCATGTGTGTAAGTGCATCGTGAAGTGCAGTGTCCTCGGATGTCAGAAGAGGGCATTGGATCCCCTGGAACTGAAGTTATGGATGGTTGTTAGCCACCATGTGAGTGCTGGGACTCGAACCCTGGTCCTCTGCAAGAACAGCCAGTGTTCTTAACCTCTGAGCCATCTCACCAGCCCCAATTTTATTTTTTACTAGGTAAAAAAATGAAATTTATTTTTCCTCACAAATTTTTAGCTATGTATGTTTATAGCTTCCCTCTCATCTTGTTTCCTTCACATCTACTTCCTTGACAGAACAAAGTAAACTTACCCGTTCTAATTGAAGTTTAGTTCATTGTTGGATTTAAAGGAAAGTTTTTATCATTTCTATATTTTGTTTGTTTGCTTGTTTGTTTTGAGACAAGGTCTCCTAAAACCCAGGCAGCCCATGTAGTTAAGGATGGCCTGTTCATCCTCATCTTCTAAACTCTTTTTCTTCTTTTCTCTCTGGTTTTGCACTATTTTCTTTATATTTTTTAAATATAGTAAGCTTCCAGATTTTACTCATTGGCTTTAGATGGTTTCTCTACTTAGAGTAATAATTTCCTGGATGTTTTTCATTCTTCAGATTTCAGAGTTTCCTCATCATCCCTAAGTAATTCATTAATCTGATTCTTAGCACATGATCATGTTTATTTTCTTATCGTACTTGTCACAACCATATTTACATGTGGATTTACTTAATATCCCCCATTAATACTGATTTGCCATGTACATTGATGCTTATCATATACACATGTACCAATCATGGTAATTCTGGGCATAATATTAGATATGTTTATTGTTTTTATTTTATGTGTATGAATGTATTGCCCACATGTATTTATATGTTGTGCAATGCCTGTGGAGGTCAGAAGAAAGTGTTGGATCCCTTGGAACCAGAGTTTCTGATGGTTGTTAGCCACCATGTGGGTACTGGGACCTGAACCTTGGTCAAGAGCAGCCAGTGCTCTTAACTGCTGAGTCATTTTTCCAGCCCAATATTATATATATTTGATAAATAGCACATATACAAACTTAAAGAACTGTTGGACTGAATGCTAAGAACTTATTTGATACCATTTATGAGTGCCACATATCTCATTCAAGAAACAGACTAGGGGCTGGGAAGATGTCTCAGTGGTTAAGAGCACTGACTGCTCTTGCAGAGGACCTGGGTTCAATTCCCAGCACCCACATGGTGGCTATGAACGTCCTTAACTCCAGTTCTAGGGAAATCCGAAGCCTCTTCTGACCTCCGCAGCATTGCACGACACGTGTGCACTCACAAACATGCAGGCAATGCACTCATACACATAAAATAAAAATAATAAATAAAATTTTTAAAAAATAGAGGCTGTTAAAAAAAAAGAAAGAAACATAGACTAGAATCATATAGTTAATATATTGTGGCTTTTTACATCCAACTTAATCTCAGTCCAAATAAAAAGTTAACAAAATACCTATGTATGGAAATGCTAGATGAAACCCAATGCCTTATATGCTAATAGAAGAACTGATTATTAAAAAAGAAGTTTACAAAACAAAATATACCTGGGGGCCTGAAAAACAGATGATTTCGGGCTGGAGAGAAGGCTCAGTGGTTAAGAACAGTTGCTGTTCTTCCAGAAGACCTGGGTTTGATTCCCAGCACTCACATGATGACTAACAACCATCAGTAACTACAGTTCTAAGTGAATTTGACACCCTGGTCTTTGTACTACACAGGTGTACTTACATACGTGCATGCAATATACTCATACACAAAAATAACAGTAATAAAAATATATATATATAAAAGAGAAACAGATTATTTCTGTGCTTGACAAGAGAAAAGTTTATCCCAACATCTAATCTGGAAAGACATGTAGGATAGACACCTAAGCCCTCTTCACTATGTGCTAATACATACTCTCTTCCCCTTCTCTCCTTGACAGTGTACTTAACTTGGAGATAACCTAAATCAGGTGCCTGAACATCAAGCCATCCAACTTTGGGAAATAGTCCAATTATCACTCATCCCTAGCTTTTTTTCTTGCCATTTTTTCCTGCCTGCATATAACTGTTTTGTAGAGTGCTTGCTTGCTAGTCTTTGTTGAGTTTCCAGTTCAGCGAGACAGAGACAGAAGAGAGAGAGAAAAGTTTTATATATATA